CTCACAGTACCAGCCCTACCCCCCCCCCACAGTACCAGCCCTACCCCCCCCCCTCACAGTACCAGTCCCACATCACCAACCCCACTCACAGTACCACCCCTACCCCTACCCCTACCCCTACCCCTCCCCCCTTACAGTACCAGCCCCACCCCCACATCACCAACCCTACTCACAGTACCAGCCCTACCCCCCCCCCTCTCACAGTACCAGCCCCACATCACCAACCCCACTCACAGTACCAGCCCTACCCCCCTCCCTCACAGTACCAGCCCTACCCCCCCTCCCTCACAGTACCAGCCCTACCCCCCGCCCTCACAGTACCAGCCCTACCCCCCGCCCTCACAGTACCAGCCCTACCCCCCGCCCTCACAGTACCAGCCCTACCCCCCTCCCTCACAGTACCAGCCCTACCCCCCTCCCTCACAGTACCAGCCCTACCCCCCGCCCTCACAGTACCAGCCCTACCCCCCGCCCTCACAGTACCAGCCCTACCCCCCCCTCACAGTACCAGCCCTACCCCCCGCCCTCACAGTACCAGCCCTACCCCCCGCCCTCACAGTACCAGCCCTACCCCCCGCCCTCACAGTACCAGCCCCACCCCCCTCCCCTACCCCCGCCCTCACAGTACCAGCCCTACCAGCCCTACCCCCCGCCCTCACAGTACCAGCCCTACCCCCCGCCCTCACAGTACCAGCCCTACCCCCCCCTCACAGTACCTCCCCCCGCCCTCACAGTACCAGCCCTACCCCCCGCCCTCACAGTACCAGCCCTACCCCCCGCCCTCACAGTACCAGCCCTACCCCCCGCCCTCACAGTACCAGCCCTACCCCCCGCCCTCACAGTACCAGCCCTACCCCCCGCCCTCACAGTACCAGCCCTACCCCCCCGCCCTCACAGTACCAGCCCTACCCCCCTCCCTCACAGTACCAGCCCTACCCCCCGCCCTCACAGTACCAGCCCTACCCCCCGCCCTCACAGTACCAGCCCTACCCCCCGCCCTACCCCCCCCCCCGCCCTCACAGTACCAGCCCTACCCCCCGCCCTCACAGTACCACCCCCCGCCCTACCCCCCGCCCTCACAGTACCAGCCCTACCCCCCGCCCTCACAGTACCAGCCCTACCCCCCGCCCTCACAGTACCAGCCCCACCCCCCGCCCTCACAGTACCAGCCCTACCCCCCTACGCCCTCACAGTACCCCTACCCCCCGCCCTCACCCCCCGCCCTCACAGTACCAGCCCTACCCCCCGCCCTCACAGTACCCTCACAGTACCAGCCCTACCCCCCGCCCTCACAGTACCAGCCCTACCCCCCCGCCCTCACAGTACCAGCCCTACCCCCCGCCCTCACAGTACCAGCCCTACCCCCCGCCCTCACAGTACCAGCCCTACCCCCCGCCCTCACAGTACCAGCCCTACCCCCCGCCCTCACCCCCCTACCCCCCGCCCTCACAGTACCAGCCCTACCCCCCCGCCCTACAGTACCAGCCCTACCCCCCCCCCTCACAGTACCAGCCCTACCCCCCGCCCTCACAGTACCAGCCCTACCCCCCGCCCTCACAGTACCAGCCCTACCCCCCGCCCTCACAGTACCAGCCCTACCCCCCGCCCTCACAGTACCAGCCCTACCCCCCCCCCTCACAGTACCAGCCCTACCCCCCCCCCTCACAGTACCAGCCCTACCCCCCGCCCTCACAGTACCAGCCCTACCCCCCGCCCTCACAGTACCAGCCCTACCCCCCCCCCCTCACAGTACCAGCCCTACCCCCCGCCCTCACAGTACCAGCCCTACCCCCCGCCCTCACAGTACCAGCCCTACCCCCCGCCCTCACAGTACCAGCCCTACCCCCCGCCCTCACAGTACCAGCCCTACCCCCCCCCCACAGTACCACAGTACCCCCGCCCTACCCCCCCCCCCTCACAGTACCAGCCCTACCCCCCCCCTCTCACAGTACCAGCCCTACCCCCTACCCCCCGCCCTCACAGTACCAGCCCTACCCCCCGCCCTCACAGTACCAGCCCTACCCCCCCGCCCTCACAGTACCAGCCCTACCCCCCGCCCTCACAGTACCAGCCCTACCCCCCGCCCTCACAGTACCAGCCCTACCCCCCCCCCTCACAGTACCAGCCCTACCCCCCCCCCCCTCTCACAGTACCAGCCCTACCCCCCGCCCTCACAGTACCAGCCCTACCCCCCCCCCCCCTCACAGTACCAGCCCTACCCCCCCCCCCTCACAGTACCAGCCCTACCCCCCCCCCTCACAGTACCAGCCCTACCCCCCCCCCCTCACAGTACCAGCCCTACCCCCCGCCCTCACAGTACCAGCCCTACCCCCCCCCCCCTCACAGTACCAGCCCTACCCCCCCCCCTCACAGTACCAGCCCTACCCCCCCCCTCACAGTACCAGCCCCACCCCCCCCCCTCACAGTACCAGCCCTACCCCCCCGCCCTCACAGTACCAGCCCCACCCCCCCCCCCTCACAGTACCAGCCCTACCCCCCGCCCTCACAGTACCAGCCCTACCCCCCCCCCCCCCTCACAGTACCAGCCCCCCCCCCCCCTCACAGTACCAGCCCTACCCCCCGCCCTCACAGTACCAGCCCTACCCCCCGTCACAGTACCAGCCCTACCCCCCGCCCTCACAGTACCAGCCCTACCCCCCCCCCCTCACAGTACCAGCCCTACCCCCCCCCCCTCACAGTACCAGCCCCACCCCCCGCCCTCACAGTACCAGCCCCACCCCCCCCCCTCACAGTACCAGCCCTACCCCCCCCCCTCACAGTACCAGCCCTACCCCCCGCCCTCACAGTACCAGCCCCACCCCCCCCCCCCCCTCACAGTACCAGCCCTACCCCCCCCCCCCTCACAGTACCAGCCCTACCCCCCCCCCTCACAGTACCAGCCCTACCCCCCCCCCCTCACAGTACCAGCCCTACCCCCCGCCCTCACAGTACCAGCCCTACCCCCCCCCCCCCTCACAGTACCAGCCCTACCCCCCGCCCTCACAGTACCAGCCCTACCCCCCGCCCTCACAGTACCAGCCCCACCCCCCGCCCTCACAGTACCAGCCCCACCCCCCGCCCTCACAGTACCAGCCCCACCCCCCCCCCCCACAGTACCAGCCCTACCCCCCGCCCTCACAGTACCAGCCCTACCCCCCCCCCTCACAGTACCAGCCCTACCCCCCGCCCTCACAGTACCAGCCCTACCCCCCGCCCTCACAGTACCAGCCCTACCCCCCGCCCTCACAGTACCAGCCCTACCCCCCGCCCTCACAGTACCAGCCCCACCCCCACAGCTGCAACTCAAGCTCCATACTACAAAATTCCAAGTTGAAACAGACCCGAAAAACACAAAAAAAACAAGTGAAACAAAATCAAAACCTGTACATAAGCATGGATGTGTATGGGTGAACGCTACATGTGTAGATACATGTGTAGATAGTGTAGATGTATAGATACATGAACGTATCTATACATACTCGTTGAAAGAGGTCTCTCCAAGTTCGAGGAGTCACTTGCCAAAAAATCGGAGGCAAAGAGTCAAGAGAAGAAAGGCCGGTAACCAGGAAGACAGACCAGAGTCGTTTGTGTTCAGTGTGGGATGGACTGCCACTCTGGGATTGGCCTCATCAGTCACACCAGACGCTGCACCAGGACTGAAGGATGTATTTCATCATACATACTCGTATGTATGATGACATGAACTTCACAAACAACCGCAGCTCCGTGACAAGAGAGCAAACTTAGCACATGACATCAGGACGGGGCACAGGGCGCCTCTTATCATAACTATATATTTAACATTTCATAACATTTTCCTTCACCTGCACTTCTCCCCCCCCCCTCAAAAAAAAGGAAGGGGGAAGAAAATAAGTGAAGGAAGGACACCGGAAAAGAAGGGGAGTGGGGGGGGTGGTGGTGGAAGAGAATAAATAGGTAGAAACTGGGAAAGATAAGGTTAAGAAGGATATATAATTGAAAAATAAACTGGGTGGGGATGAGAAAAGGGCAGGAGTTGGAAGGGAGGATTGGACTGTAGAGAGAGGAGGAGTGGCATAGTAGACGAGGGACTGGGGGGGATGTGGGGGTGACGGCGATCAGCTGGGCGCGGGTGGGTGTGTTCAGACTGCAGACATCAGGAGAAACCTTACTAGCCGGTCCCTGCCGTCACCACGAGGCTTCATATCCTCCCCCCACCCCCAAAAAAAACACATACAAAAATAAATCCCACACAAACCCATTCAAATATTTTTAAGCCGAGTGTGCATGCCATCACCTCCTCCTTCGATTTAAACCTTTAAGAATACTTCGCTGCCAAAAATGAATGCGAGTCAGCAATCTGGCAACCCCTGCATCACATGCCTCACCCTATGTGTGTGTGTAATATTGACCTACTATCCCAGTCAATATTACACGTGGTCCATGTGCAATTATGAGAAGCTTCAGCGAGAGTATGTTGCAGCAAGAACCCGGTGATATTACAAGTTTATAAAACCAGAGGTTTAATAGGGAAGCTGGCAGCTTGCCGGCGAGCACGTGGTGGATCAGCTGTGCGGGAAGCCGTGCCAAGCTTGGCACTCTTCCCCCAACTCACACACCCTAAATTATTCATTTCCAAAGCTTTATCCCGACTCTTCTCGCCAAGGTTAAAGGCTTATATAATTAAGCTGGAATAAGCCCGTCCTCACTACATCCGACAGATCCACATTCGTTAGGTTTAATTTATATTTAACAAAAATATAATTGAATTAAATATACACTTGATTAATAGTATAAATAGATAAATAATATATATAATAGTATATATTAGATATAGATATATTTTTGTGAAACTTTAAATATTCCACTGAATTGTCTAATTAATTCCTGAGCACACCTTCCTCCGGCGACCGGCTTCGGTGGTAGACACTTGCACAGAAGGCAGTCTTCACCAGCAGTCACGCCCAGTGACTACCGTGCAGCATCATGCAACACCAGAGATCAACACAAGAGAGTATTACCTGCATAAACTTGGAAGATAAGGCAGCTGGGGTGGGCGCGTGGCTGGGTGGAGTCTGGGTCGACAAGGCTTCACTTGATGACGGAGCAGTGGTGGGAGCCATTGGTTCAACACGCACAATTAGGGCAGTTGATGGATGTACTCGGTGTCAGGTCGATACAGAAGATATATAAAGAAAGAGAGAGATACAGAGAGACGAGAGACTAATACACACACACACACACACACTGTGGATGAGCGCTGGCAAGCGACTGAGGGGGATGGCTGGACGCTGCTGCTGCTGCCCCCTGGCCTCGCCCCTAACACCTCCCAACACCAGCCCTCTTAAACCACATCCTTATCTCTCACATTCAAGCTTCTATAACAACCAAACCACCTACAAACTCATTTCAATTGTCATTTAACGCCATTCTGCATCAGAGGCGTTTAACAGAACTGCTAGAAAGAGAGAGTTTAATTGATCGATACATTTGCATATGATTGGCACCTCAAGGGCCCCCCCTCCCCCCCCCAGATGTTATGATCGTCAAAATAGGTTCCTGATGACCTAAAGCTCGTTACTGCAGGCCAGCCATGTGGCTAAGTCTGGTCTCTGGTGCTAGCTCATTTAAACATCTGTTTCATCAACTACCCCTCTGTTTGTTGGACTATTAAAACTATTAAAAAGGAAAATCTCAACGTCCATATTATTCGAAACTCAAATAGTTTCAAATAAAATTGTAACTGATATCCTAAATCTAGTTTGAAATAATAACAATCTAATTTGTATAAAATTATCAATAGAGGAAGAATTGAAACAGGAATATCCTTAAGTACTTTCGTATATTCATACATCTTCAGAAGGAATGATTTACAAGTCAAGTATTGAACATATATATTGGCAGAGAGGTGAAGTGAGGTGAGGTACAATAAAAAATGAATGGGAATTAGGTGGATACAAATAAGAGCCGCATTAGAACTGCAGAAGACCTATTGGCCCATACGATGCAGCTCCTATTTATACCCACCAACAGGCCCACACATGGATAATACTAGAATAAGATAGTAAATAATTACAATGAATTAGTGAGACAAATGTGTATCAATGATCCTACTCAAATCGCTCTTTAATTGATCTATCAAAAATGGATCTAAGTTCTATAAACCACTGCTAATGTTCAAATTACATTCTTTTGTAATCTGTATTAAAGCAGATTCAATTATATTCCTGTTATAAGTGCTTTTACAATTCGTTATTGAAGAAGACATCTCCCAATCAATTTGGTGAGCACTTTCTGACAAAATGAACAAACAAAGCATTAGACAATTGGCCATGTCTTGCAGAGTATTTATGTTGCGAAATTCTACATTTCAAATCTTTAGATGTTTGCCCAACATATAATCTATTTCAGTCTTTACAAGGTATTTTATAAATGACACAATTATCACTACGAGGGCTGTTTCTAACTAATAGCTTACCAACAGTATTTTCGTAATTAAATAATAAATGTATATCAAAAAGTTTCAAGACCTTGAACATATTTTCAAACCCAGAGAAATATGGTAAACATACCACATTCTTTGGGCGAATTTTTTCACAGCATAAATTATTATAATATGTACGACGTGCTTTGCTGCGGCAAACTTCCAAAAAACTCAGTGGGTAACAAAACTTGAGACCAATCGAATCAATATTCTTAAACTCTTTGTCTAAGAATTCTGGACTCACAACCCGAATAGCTCTAAGATACATTGAAGAAAAAATTAATTTTTTCACATTGTATCTATGCCCTGAGGAATAATGAACATAAGATAAATTATTCGTAGGTTTTCTGTAGACACTAAACTTTAGAGAAAAATCTTCCCAATGAATAAGTACATCTAGGAATGGCAAACATTTATCAATTTCAGTCTCCATTGTAAATTTTATAGAGGTGACTTGACCATTAAGTTTGGCTACAAATTCATCTGTTTCTTCTGCAGTTCTTATGCGGCTCTTATTTGTATCCACCTAATTCCCATTCATTTTTCATTGTACCTCACCTCACTTCACCTCTCTCTCCTGCCAATATATATGTCCAATACTTGACTTGTAAATCATTCCTTCTGAAGATGTATTATTATACGAAAGTACTTAAGGATATTCTTGTTTCAATTCTTCCTCCGTGGTCTGACACTGTCAAATTTTTCATCACGTGTTAATTTTCGTGATTTACACACACACACACACACACACACAGGGGGCCTCGAAGCCTGGTGGATAGCGCGCAGGATTCGTAATTCTGTGGCGCGGGTTCGATTCCCGCACGAGGCAGAAACAAATGGGCAAAGTTTCTTTCACCCTGAATGCCCCTGTTACCTAGCAGTAAATAGGTACCTGGGAGTTAGTCAGCTGTCACGGGCTGCTTCCTGGGGTGTGTGTGTGTGGTGTGGAAAAAAAAAAAAAGTAGTTAGTAAACAGTTGATTGACAGTTGAGAGGCGGGCCGAAAGAGCAAAGCTCAACCCCCGTAAAAACACAACTAGTAAACACACACATATATATATATATATATATATATATATATATATATATATATATATATATATATATATATATATATATATATGTCGTACCTAGTAGCCAGAACTCACTTTTCAGCCTACTATTCAAGGCCCGATTTGCCTAATAAGCCAAGTTTTCCTGAATTAATATATTTACTATAATTTTTTTCTTATGAAATGATAAAGCAACCCTTTTCTCTATGTATGAGGTCAATTTTTTTTTATTGGAGTTAAAATTAACGTAGATATATGACCGAACCTAACCAACCCTACCTAACCTAACCTAACCTATATTTATAGGTAAGGTTAGGTTAGGTAGCCAAAAAAAGCTAGGTTAGGTTAGGTTAGGTAGGTTAGGTAGACGAAAAAACATTAATTCATGAAAACTTGGCTTATTAGGCAAATCGGGCCTTGAATAGTAGGCTGAGAAGTGCGTTCTGGCTATTAGGTACGACATATATATATATATATATATATATATATATATATATATATATATATATATATATATATATATATATATATATATATATATATATATATATATTTTTAGAGGTACCACCACTGGTTTAATTAAAGGGGCCCACATCCTCGAAGAAGAAAATAAATAGTGTTCAGAGAAGATCTTGTGGATTCTCACTGAATACTTTAATCTTTTCCTCTCCTACCACCCCTATTATTTTTTAATAAAAAATATATATATATATGTCGTACCTAGTAGCCAGAACGCACTTCTCAGCCTACTATGCAAGGCCCGATTTGCCTAATAAGCCAAGTTTTCCTGAATTAACATATTTTCTCTAATTTTTTTTTATGAAATGATAAAACTACCCATTTCATTATATATGAGGCCAATTTTTTTTATTGGAGTTAAAATTAACGTAGATATATGACCGAACCTAACCAACCCTACCTAACCTAACCTAACCTATCTTTATAGGTTAGGTTAGGTTAGGTAGCAGAAAAAGTTAGGTTAGGTTAGGTAGGTTAGGTAGTCGAAAAACAATTAATTCATGAAAACTTGGCTTATTAGGCAAATCGGGCTTTGCATAGTAGGCTGAAAAGTGGGCTACTAGGTACGACATTATATATATATATATATATATATATATATATATATATATATATATATATATATATATATATATATATATATATATATATATATATATATATATATATATATATATATGTCGTACCTAATAGCCAGAACGCACTTCTCAGCCTACTATTCAAGGCCCGATTTGCCTAATAAGCCAAGTTTTCATGAATTAATGTTTTTTCGTCTACCTAACCTACCTAACCTAACCTAACCTAGCTTTTTTGGCTACCTAACCTAACCTTACCTATAAATATAGGTTAGGTTAGGTTAGGTTTAACAGTCTCCGTGGTGTAGTGGTAAGACACTCGCCTGGCGTTCCGCGAACGCTATGTCATGGGTTCGTATCCTGGCCGGGGAGGATTTACTGGGCGCAATTCCTTAACTGTAGCCTCTGTTTAACGCAACAGTAAAATGTGTACTTGGATGAAAAAACGATTCTTCGCGGCAGGGGATCGTATTCCAGGGACCATAGGATTAAGGACTTGCCCGAAACGCTACGCGTACTAGTGGCTGTACAAGAATGTAACAACTCTTGTATATATCTCAAAAAAAAAAAAAAAAAAAAAAAAAAAAAAAAAGGTAGGGTTGGTTAGGTTCGGTCATATATCTATGTTAATTTTAACTCCAATAAAAAAAATTGACCTCATACATAGAGAAAAGGGTTGCTTTATCATTTCATAAGAAAAAAATTATAGTAAATATATTAATTCAGGAAAACTTGGCTTATTAGGCAAATCGGGCCTTGAATAGTAGGCTGAGAAGTGAGTTCTGGCTACTAGGTACGACATATATATATATATATATATATATATATATATATATATATATATATATATATATATATATATATATATATATATATATATATGTCGTACCTAGTAGCCAGAACTCACTTCTGAGCCTACTATGCAAGGCCCGATTTGCCTAATAAGCCAAGTTTTCATGAATTAATTGCTTTTCGACTACCTAACCTACCTAACCTAACCTAACCTAACTTTTTCGGCTACCTAACCTAACCTAACCTATAGAGATAGGTTAGGTTAGGTTAGGTAGGGTTGGTTAGGTTCGGTCATATATCTACGTTAATTTTAACTCCAATAAAAAAAAATTGACCTCTTACATAATGAAATGGGTTGCTTTATCATTTCATAAGAAAAAAAATTAGAGAAAATATATTAGTTCATGAAAACTTGGCTTATTAGGCAAATCGGGCCTTGCATAGTAGGCTCAGAAGTGAGTTCTGGCTACTAGGTACGACATATATATATATATATATATATATATATATATATATATATATATATATATATATATATATGTCGTACCTAGTAGCCAGAACTCACTTTTTGGCCTACTATGCAAGGCCCGATTTGCCTAATAAGCCAAGTTTTCCTGAATTAATATATTTTTTCTATTTTTTTTCTTATGAAATGATAAAGCTGCCCATTTCATTATGTATGAGGTCAATTTTTTTTTATTGGAGTTAAAATTAACGTAGATATACGACCGAACCTAACCAACCCTACCTAACCTAACCTAACCTATCTTTATAGGTTAGGTTTGGTTAGGTAGCCGAAAAAGTTAGGTTAGGTTAGGTTAGGTAGGTTAGGTAGTCGAAAAACAA